CCGCAGCGTGTGTAGCGAGCGCCGCTTGGAATCCTCCACCGGATTCGAGGTATCGGCCGCATTGCCAAGCTTATCGCCGGCGAGGAGCCACAGCGACTTGCAGAAGCCGCGCTTCTGCAGTGCCATTCGGCAAACACGGCAGTACGGCCTGCGTGAGGACGGGGGACAGAAGACCACCTGCTTCTGCTTCCCGGACACTTCTGGCAGCCAAACGCCCCTGCAGCAGAACCTCAACAAGCTAGGCTGGGTGCTGTACTTGGAGCACGTAACACGTAGCAGCTGAGCCCCGGAAAGAGGCGTGCTGCTTTTGGGGCAGTATGCAGTAGAGAAATCGTGGTAGTCAGCTGCCCGTGCCGAGTCGAGCAGGGAAGGAGGGCCGCTATAGGTCACTAGAGCATCAAAAGTGCCACACCCGCAGGCGCTCGTATCGGTGTCCTCGCGATCGTCGTTTGCGTGTCTTGTCAAACGATCAGAGATGTCACGTGGCAGTCGCGTGTGTGAGAGGGTGCCGGGTACTTTCTTAGATACTTCAGCACGTAGCGGTGCAGACCGTAGGACTTTCTCGTCCGCTTGCTGCCGAGGGTTATGATAGCAGTAGCATTTTTCTGATGTGTGCTTTGCTGTGTGCTCCGAGTTGCAGAGGCCTTTGTAAGCTTACGGCGTTCGAGCAGCACCCTCTTCCACCTTGTCCTACTGTTGAAACCGTCAGTCAGTGTTGGCATCGTAAAATCATGACCTGTAGCCAGTAGTGCTGCAGCTTGGCGCGATTCTGTTGCTGCCTGTCACCTTCCCCGCCACAAGCCCGGATGCAAAAGTTTGCATTTGCCGAGCAGACTGAGGTCGGCATCTTCATCATCGGTTGGGTTACGGACCGCAAAGACCCCGCCAATCCGGAGAGTGCTGCCTCTCGCTGGCAACTTGCAGTCGCGGCTGTAGCAGGCCATTCCCACAAGCCCAGGCAAGTCGCTTGACGTGTCTTGCCAGGCATGGCTCTACATGATTCTGGTGTCCGTTACCTTGGCGGTGGCTGCCATTCCAGAAGGCATCCCGCTCTGCGTGACCATCTCGCTGTGGCCCGGCCGAGGCATAGCATAGCCAGACCATCTCCCGTCCATCCCGTCCCGACCCTCAGTAAAAGTACTGGTGAAAACTGGGGATTCCGACGTGTCCCCAGGTCAATTGGCTGCTCAGAGCCTCGGCTGTGGCACGTTCCACTGCAGGGCCTGTAGCGTTGGTCCTGTGGGATCACCTCTCCTGTCCCAACTTTGCGTTTGCAGAGAGCCGAGGCCATGGCCAGCACCTCAGTCCGGACATGCGGCAGGGCGCGGACGAGCGACCCAAAGTCGTCTTTCTGAGAAATCCGAAGATTGGGCGAGACATTGAAGCCTGCAGAACCCCCATGTTGAGTCACCGGAAGTCACGATTCGGCTTTTCATCGGATGCACGAGGAATGCCCAACAACCATTCACGACCACGACGTTGAGATGTTAAGAGCATCCTGTCTCTTCAGGTGAACCAGGAGGTGCTTGTCCGAAAGCTCGCGGCAGTGGAGACCTTGGGCTCGGCTTCCGTCATCTGCAGTGACAAGACAGGAACGCTGACTGAAGGCCGCGCATGTCAGTTCTTCCTTGTGCCACCACTTCTTCGTGGAAATCCTGTCCGCATGTCGATGGACCGGGAATGGTTTTGAAGTATCTCACGAGCAGGCAAGATGACCATGGTCGGCATGTACACAGCTGGTGTCACCTACGATGTGACCGGCAAGGGGTTCGACCCCGAGGCACATCAGCAACACTGCATTGGTAAGCCTCCAGCACCTCTGCAGGATGTAGGGCCGTGACAGCTCTGTCGATGATTGTTGTTGTCCAGTAGAATAAAATGCCTCCTCTGACAGCTAAGAACCAAAACCACCCTATCATCAAGGGGAGGCGCCTGGACGGGGCAACAACACATCCACGGGCATCTCCTGGCAGGTCGGCCAAGTGCAGCGTAGCGGGAGCACGGCGAACAGTGGCAAGGACATGGGCAGCTCGTCGTTCACTATCTTTTGCTGTCCAGGTCGATAGGCTTGCACAGGGCTTGCCCCACTATCGAGCAACATGAGCCAAGGTGTGAAGAGCAACCTTCTGGCAGCTTCTGGTTTGAAGCTAATTGGGTGTTTGGTGTGTGTGTGTGTGTGCCCATGCCGCTCAGGATACTGTCAGGATTATGTTGCAATGTGCGTTTGGCAGCTCGTCTATGACCTGTCCGTGTTGTGAGGCAATCCTTTGCTGCAACACCACGCTGTCTAAAGAGAAGGACGAGGATGGTGTGATGAAGTGGACGCCCAAGGCTGGAAGGACAAATGCATCCAGTGTGGCCTTTCGTGCAACGCAGTTACTTTGTTTTTTTTTTCGGTCAGGGCAACTCCTCCGAAGCTCCAATCGTCGTTGCGGCACGGAAAGTGGGTCTGTCCGAGACAATTGCAAGTGGCCCATCCGGTTTCAGCCATGCACTCCCGTTGCTGGAGTAGGGTTGTGCGAGGCAAGCATCTTGTGCCGAAGGACACATGCACACGTGGCTCATTACCCAACCTTTTACCTTTCAGTTTTGTCCTGTGCTGTGCTCGTGAGAAGCGGTTGTGGTTTTGTCGGGGTATTGTTTTTTTTTCTGGTTCCGAGCACAATGCACCGTCTCTGTTGCAGTTTACGTCACAACCCGCCAAGTGCGCTCAGGCGATTACCCGCGGGTGCTGGAAGTGCCTTTTTCATCTTCTCGGAAGATGATGCTGTCCGGCTTCAATGAGAGCCCTCTCGGTTCGCAGACCGATGCCAAGCCATGCCAAGGCTCACCGTGTCGCGCGTGAAGGGCACCGAGCTTTGCCCTGGTGGCATGCCGCTGCCAGCAGGCCGCGGATGCGTTGACGTGTGTGGGCATCCTGGAGTCGTGGAGTCTTAAGTGCTCGGTATACGGTGACCAGGCACCAATTACCTCGCGGTGTGCAAGGGCGTCGGGATCTCAGATAGTGATCTTCATGCAATCGCAGCATTTTTTGATGTAGATGGTTGTTCTTCCGGTCATCTTCCAGCACTGTGACTCTTGAATGGTTGCAGTCGCGTAGGCCCCGAACTACATTATCGACTTGTGCTCGGAACAGTTGAAAGAGGATGGCAGCAACTCGGCTGATTTGAACTGGCTGAAGGAGTCTGGACGGGATTCTTCCAACAGCCAGCGCGCGCTTTGCAGCTGCAAGAGCTTTGTGAATCAGAAAAGTCGCATGGCCAATGAGCAATGGACGTTTTAGAGCATTCCTCTTCTTTTGAACTGTCTTCCTGTGCCGACAAGCTTCTGCAACCGTAGCCGCCGGCTGTTTGTGGCCAGGGACTGCTAGGCGAAGAGCCGGAGAGCAAAACATGTCATGTCGCTGCGTGAAGCCCCGAAAAATGCACACAGCGAAGGTGTGGCCAAGCTGAGTGATGATGACAAGAAGGATATCTTGAAGATTGTGGATGGTGCATCCGGGGACAGAAAGCTAGTGATATGTGCATTTTATGTAGTGTGCAGGCATCGTCTCGGTAGGAAGATGACGCATTGATTCCGTGTGGAGGTTACTCTGCGCGTGCGCTGCGAGTTCTGGCCATCGCAGCGCGGCCAATGAGCTCCCTGCCGCACCTCGGCAGCCTTCCCATGCTCATTTGTTCGTTCGACAAGATCATTGGCATTGGACGATGCCGTCTATTGTCTGATGTGTACCGGAGCCTGTCTCCGGCTCCTGCAAGCCTTCAAGGTATGATGAGAGCAACGAGGATGTTGCTCGGACTTGTGACGGCTCCAGCTGCATGCAGGTTTGCTCAATTTACCCTGCAATCCCTTTTTATTTTTAGCTGCATGATCAAGAGCACGGATTTTTTGTCTGGTGGTGCAGACCAGACTCATGATTCTGTGAATTGTGAGCATGCACCTCTCCACCAAGATCTCCACGGATCAGAAGTTCGAAGCTTGCCGCAAGCAGCTGCGCTTGATTGGACTGGTCGCGTCTATCGATCCCGAGCGCGGCTCGTCTGCACACTGGCTCGGCAGACTTCTTGAGAATTCATGTTCACCTGGGCGGATGCTGGCCTGCTGTTTCCCAGGCGATGGCGTGCCGGATTCTGTCCTCGCAGCCCGTGGTGCGGGCATTCGCGTGGTGCTTCTGTCGTGCAACAAGATTCTGCCAGCCTTTCCTTCCCTTTGTGATTAAGTTCTACTACGAGAATGCTTGCTCTAAACTTGACCCATCCTCAGGTCATGATCACAGGTGACTATCTCCTTACGGCCATTGCTATTGCCAAGAACGTCGCCAGCCAGCACTTTGGAAGTTGCATGCCATGAAAGTGGTTCGCTGCTCCAACCGTGGATGACCCACGCGAGGTCAACATCCTGCAGCCCTGCGATGATCCCGATGTCTCTGCTGTTGACTGCGCCTGCCTCCGCCCCGATGGCGAGTACCTGGACAACAAGGCTTCCGCTGGCTCCCGAGCTGAAGATGTAGACAGAACCGCAGACCCGGCCTGCATGTGCAGGAGATGGACAAGCTGACCGGCTCGGTTCGCGTGTTTGCACGTGCTAAGCCCGAGGACGGGTTGGATGCGATTGAGAGTCCGCGGTTGCGTGTGTGCAAACACGCAGGACAAGCTTGAGATCGTGAAGAGCATTCAGCGACAAGGCCCGGCCACAGACATCCCTAGCTGTGACTGGGGACAGAAGGGTGCAGACGGAATGAGCTTCACCAGGACAGGTGGCGGCCATGACAGGTGATGGTGCCGCTTGGCAGAGAGACAACCTTGCAAATTTGTGAGAGGGGACAGGCCTGGCAGTTTACGAATGCCTTCTGAATTGGCGGTTGCAATGCTGCCCCACGCAGTCGGACCATCTGGATGCAGAGAGCGAGAGGGAGAGCAAGCAAACAAACTCGGAATACATCGTTTCGAGGTCAACGATGCCCCCGCTCTCAACCAAGCCGACATCGGAGTGGCCATGGGAATCCAAGGGACCGAGGTGGCCAAAGGTGCTTCCGACATGATGCTCTGGCTGCGAGAGAGGTTAGCCGCAGGTTGGTCGTAGGAAAACTGCGAGCTGTTTTGCTGTGCAGGGATGTTGATGGCGTTTCAGAGGGTATGATGTCCAGCGGGGCTTGATTCCCGGCGCAGCTTCGACTGAGGATTCTGACAGATGACAACTTCTGCTCCATCGTTGCTGCTGCCTGCACCCCAGGAAAGGTTTTTGGGTTGGAGTGTCCAACACCGCCTGAAAGCTTTAAACTTCACAGTCTGAGAGCACCGGCCCAGCCGTCCAGATTCCTGGCAAGCCGTCAGGAGAATCTTGTGAGTGCCTCCGTCTCTCTCTCTCTCTCTTTGTCTCTCTCTCTCTCTCTCTCTCCCTCTCTCCCTCTCCCCCTGATCGCAGCGGTTGAGCAGGCATGGTTTCACAGAGCGGGCAGCGCTGGCCTGGTAAGCCCAGGTCGAGAAGGGTCGTGCCATCTATGCTGGTATCCAAAAGTTCGTGGCCTTTATCATGTCTGTGCACATTGCAGAGGCCAGGGTCTGCAAAGCGAAGGGTCGAAGATGACATTCGTCAGAGTCTGAAGTCTGAAGCCTGAAGGTGATGCAGATCTTCATTTGCATCGTCGTTGGCATCCCTGCGCCTCGGCGATACCGCTTCGCGAGGGCGGAAAGTCCTACAGCCGTCCGAAGTGCACGACCTCCCATGACAGGTCATGCGAACACCCCTTCAGATCCTGTTCCTGATCCTTGTCACCGATCTTCCGCCTTCCATCGCGCTGGGCGTCGAGCCCGGTCATAGGCCCAGTGCTGACGGATCAACTTGAGAACGCTGTCGCCTAAAGAGCTTCCAGACGAAGTGGGACACGCCGACTGCGCAGACCACGTGCCTCGAAGCGCGGCCCAAGGTGAGGCAAACATCCTGAAGATGCGCCCTCGTCCCAAGGCCAGGAAGTGTCGCAGACACATTGCTAGTGCTGTAGAACGGGAGCTGTGCCTTGCCATCCTGACCCGCCCGGCCTCAGAGCTGCACCACACCCGGCCTATCGCAAGTGCAGAATTTTAGCACGCTTGCAGAATATGTTGCTGAAATGCTGACCATGTCCAGGACGAGCCGATTGTGCTGAACTGGCAGCTTGGACAGCTTGGACTTGCAGTGCTCAAGTGGCGCTATAGTGATTGACGAACACAGACGTGTAGTTCTGAATTTGCGTTAGAATGAAAAAGTGCACGGGTGTAAAATTGTGTAAAAGGATGTGGTTGGCCATGGTCATGAACGGCATGGTTCTTACAGTGCCCCGGACGCAAGATGCATGCAGCACAATGTCTGCAAAGAGAAAAGACTGAGCGAGCCCAGCCCGGTGTGCACTGACATTCTATATATCTACGCATCATGGGGAATCATGATGAGTCATCGAAAATAGCCGCGAAGCGTGTTGCAAACAATCCACGTCATAGGTGTTACGGGCTCTGGAGATGCACGTAACGGGGTGTATGATTCCTCCATCCGAACGTAGATGCTTAGTGATGCTCCGCTGAAGCGTGGAACCTGCACTGGCACAGACTGTGATCGTCGGCGTGTACCTGGTCTCTCTGATGCACTTCTGCGACGGCGAGATTCTGCAAGCCAACATCTACACGTTGGAAGGCTTGGTCGGGATCTGGCTTCAGGGTTGTCGATGTGTGAAAGTGGCTAGTACCGTGGCTGACATTTCTGTGCAAACCACTGTTGCTAGGCTGATGTGGTCCAGGACTCTTTAAAATACGAGCCCAGTGAGTATAGGGTCTGCCTTCGCAGAACTTGTGGCCAACCGCTAGCTGGTGAGCAATGCGCAAGTAGTCGGAAGAGCCACCGGCTGGGCTGGCGGGCTGAAAGTGCGAGCGTCGACCCCAATGCAGGCTATGAGACCAAGTGCTTTGGCCGCAATGAGGTGTCTGGTCCTGTGGGTGAACTATCCATGCCGCTTGTGCTGTTTGGCCGATTGATTGCACCATCTCTGCAGAAGACCGCCGGCGCTGCCGCCTAGGGACTCCTAAGCTTGGACGCTTGTCCCCGTGCAGTCGCTCATAATCCATCCCAGCACCTCGAGGTTGAGCTTGGCCCAGACGGTGGCCTTCATCTCCCTGGTGTGGCCCCGGACTCACCTCCCCGCACAGGTTCAAAATTCAGGACTAATAAAGCAAACTCGCTGCTTGCATAGACATGTTTCGTTTGCCGAAAGAAGTGTCGGGTGAAGGGGGGGGGCAAGGGGAGGGCGGCTGGCAGATTGAGTTCAATCCCCAGGACGCCTCAGGCCTGTGGCCTCGGCGGATTTGTGATCAGACGGCATTTCTGACCAGGTCTGAGAACATCCGCGCTTACATCTCCCGCTCCTTCACAAATCCGATGTGGCACGACATCCTTGGAAACAAGGCTTCCCTGCTTCGCACCAGCGTGCCCGCGGCAACCGAGTGTCTTGTGCTCAGATGGCATAACGCACAAACTTGCTCGTGGGCAGGAGATGCAGAAGGCGATTGTCCTCGCGCAGATCTGCTTGTACGGAGTCACTTTGATGTTTCCAACATGGGTTTCAAGGTTAGGTTCAAGTGCGTGTCTTGTTGACAGGGACGGGAAGGCTCTTTACTGGGAGTGCTGCGCGGTAATGATTAATGAAATTAGGGCACACAAAGATGCTTGTCTCCTCATGACTTATCCAGCACCCGCTTCTGCGACTGCATTCAAGATGGACTCTTGAACAAAATGTGCCAGATCGTCGCCCAAGGCTGTCTTAATCCCGTATCTCTCCGACAAGATTCTGGGACTGCGAGGTCTGGAAATTGGCAGGGGCCCTGGAAGATGCAAGATGCGGCAAGTCAAAACCACCGCGATTGAATCGGGAGCTGAGGTGTGTTTGGCTGGGCGTTGGCGATCGCCGGCCCTGTGGGCTGCTTCATCCTCTCCGAGAGCTGCAAGCTAATCAGCAGCGTCCTCGGCCACTTGGGGTGCGCGGCCTGGTGTAGATCGGCACAGCTGAGCTTTTGATGTATCGCTCAGGCGCCTACCAAGCCAAGAAATACCAGGACAGCACGGCAGCACCACATGGTCACGCCATTTCCAGCACGTGAGAAACCTCGACCTTCTGACTTGAGGACTCCTTGGCGATTACCCAGCCATCTGAAAAAAGGCCAGCTCTTGCCGGCAAGGCCCGCCGCAGATGAATAGCACTGAAATCCATAGCATGAAGTCTCTGAGGTAAGATAGTCAGGTACGCTCGGATAGACTGCACGTGCATCGGTGGCAGTGATGTTTTTTGCCATGGCTTTGCTGAAGTTGCAGCTGTCCTGCACAGGGCAAGCCAGCGCCACTCGGCCTGCAACCGGTCAGGAACCTTTGGTCGCCTCTTCCATGTATCTGTTAACATGTACAAGCATTATTTAGATGAATATCTGTATTCGGTGCCAAGTGGGAGCCAAAAACGTTTGTATGGGTATAGTTCATACATATAAACGTATATTCAGTATATGTGTTACATACATACATACATACATACATACATACATACATGCGTACATACATGCATGTATGTACGTACGTACGTACGTACGTATGTATGTATGTATGTATGTATGTATGTATGTATGTATGTATGTATACACGTATAAGTATATGTATATAGATAGATAGATAGATAGATAGATAGATAGACACATAGATAGATAGATAGATAGATAGATAGATAGATAGTATATGAGAACGGCAAAAAAGAATATACGTACATATATATATATATACATACATACACATGTATACATACATACATGTACCTAAGCTCTATATCAAAGTCTATATGCACGTATGTATGTATGCATGCATGTATGTATGCCGTCATGCCGTTCTTTGACTGACAGGCCAGGAGAAATTTGGCTTGATGATGTCGTGCTGCATTCAGGCCCCTGCCATTTAAGATGAGGAGTCTTAGGAGACAAAGCTCTACCGGGCTCGTCATGAGGCTACGTTGCTTTAGGCCGCCCTAAACCTCGCCTGAGCTTCGAGTGCGAGTGCTACAAATGTATGTAAGCATATATGTATGCGCATATATATATATATATACACACACACACACATATATATATATATACACATACATATCTGTATGTGGACACGTATGTTGATATGCATGTGCATATGTACATGTACATGCTTATACTGGTCCGCATGCACAACTATACTCAGGTAGTATCATGTCGTGCCGTGGCATGCCGTATCATAGAATATAATATCATTTTATTCCACATCTTCATGTATACGTGTATCCATACACGTGTCTTTCAAGAAGAAGGGACTGGGTAGCAGCCGCATGGAAGTTGCGCAAGCAATCTCAAGCCTCTGTGAATACCGCTTTTCAGGAAGCCGGCGAAGGCAGCGGCAGAGGCTCCTCAGGGCCGTTGCTGCTGGGCCCCTCGGCTTTCGGCTGATGTCAGGGGCTCTTGGCTCTCAGCTTCAGCAGATGTGGCGCCGTGGCCGTGGCAGTCCTTTAGCGCGAAAGCATGTTGCACGAATTCAAGCTGTGAGCTCACTGCTGCGCTCATGGCTAAGGCTTGGTTTTGGTGAGTCTGGTGATGGCTCGGCGCTTCAGATAAAATTTCTGAAGTTGGCCTATAGCCATCCGCAGCTTCTTTAGCGTGCTGCTTTCCAGTGGTTTTGGAAAGGCCTTTCTGGGGAAGTAGCGCAGCCGGAGGAGCTGTGTTGCCTTTGTAATCTTCCTGAATGCCGCGGCGGAGGAGCGCCCTGCTGTACTTAGTCTACGACCAGACTCGCATCCTCTCATCCTATGTTTCGTCGATTCGTAGAGAGAACCTGTTCTTTCACATTCAAGGGGTGGCTCAAAACCGCGGGGTACAAGCCGCCAGTCTGCTGTGCAGCTGGTATTCGAACTGTCGTTCCCATTATCTTTGCTGGGCCTGCCATGGCCTGATAGGGGCCAGAGATGGCTGCTTGTGTTGCCCGGATCGGAGATCTAGGCAGCTGCAACTGTTTTTAAACGTTGTGCCCATTTCACCACCCCACACTCTGGGAGGGTCGGCTAAGCTGACTCTTCCTGTGCCAAAGGCAAGATCCTAGCTCAAAGCCAGTCCGCCGCCCGTGCTGTGAGAGCAGTGACGTGGCCAAGCTGGCATTTGTCAAACCCCCGCGCATCATGCACGTGAAACATTGTCCAGTGCAGAAGCTCTTCGTCCCTTGAATTCCCGATCGGCCGACCCAAGAGAAGTCAGTTTTCGTGATCCCTAGTTGAAACTCGCCGGGTTTTCGGTGAAGTCACTCAGCGGTCGTCCCTATTGAGTCCGCGCATAGCTGTCGTGCTCGAGGGAGGCTTGGCTGCTGCACACGTGCGTGCCCGCAGCATTTGCGCTGGCAAAAGAGAGCTGAGCTGAGCTGAGCCTGGCCCGCCGCCATGTGCCTCGGCACAGAGTCTGCGACATGATGCATGGCAGAGAGCTCCGCCAGCTCCGGGTCTGTGCGTCTGCGCGAGGTCCCAGAAAAACCTCAAGAAGCCGCAGTCGGCCAAGCCGAAGGCGTCCGACAAGGATGCCAAGCAAAAGGAGGATTCTGTGCGAGCCCGAGGACTTGTGGGTACCAAGCGGTGAGTTCAGGAGCATCGGAACAGCATGAGGGCCTAACGTGTGAAAGTCTAACCGAGGAGCTGGACATTGAGGAGCTGGCGAAGAAGTACAAGACCAACCTGAAGAAGGGACTCACAGGCAAGAAGGCTGCCGAAGCTTGTGCCTCAAGAAGTAGCTTCACTTTCTCCCGGCCTGTCCCCAGGCCCCAAACCAGGCAGGTTCCGAATGCAGCCCTTCGCAGCCGGTAGCTTTTCTTCTCCACATAAGGAGATCCTCGAGAGAGATGGATTGAACGAGTTGGAGAAACCGCCCAAGCCCACGCTGCTGATGCTCTTCCTCATGCAGCCGCTTGCCTTGCACCGGCACGTGTGTGCAAGGGCCTAAGCCGGAAAGGAAGTCTCTCCGCAGCATCGCACGCAGAGGCTCACGAGCTTCATCATCATCCTCCTCATGGTGGCAGCCGTGGCCTCCATCCTCGTGAACGCCACGGGCCCTGATGCTGCGGATCCGCTCTCTTACACGACAGGCTCGGCTTCACATAGCCATGCCGGTTCGCAGGACAGAACAAAAAACCTGCAGACCCGTGTCTTGCGAGGCATTGCCATTGCCGCCCGTCTGCAAGTGCGCTTGCAGAAGCACCGTCACTTCCATTCCTCACAATTGTCCTTCTGCGATATGTATTCAGAAAGACTTGGCAGCGTTTGGGCTAGGGCATC